CATACTCGCACCTACTTCCCCTTTTTCCCTAGATTATCAACTGAACGTTCGAGCTCATCTTCGCACAAGCCACGCTGCTCCAGAAAGCTTCTCTGAAGGCTTCCATTTCGTCCGATCCACGTTAGCGTTGACAACCCGAAGTTACTTCCACAAGGAGAGTGAAGTGCACGATGACGATGCGGGTGGTATACGTGGCACGCTTACCCTTCGTGCAGACCGGGGATCGAGTCCCGGATCGGCTCTCAGCCAGGCCAGCCAAGCCTTCAATCCTATGGGAAATTGGTAGCGGATTAGTCTGCGAGGACGGAACAGACTTGTACATCGGCACGCCCCCGCGAGTCATGGTATAGACCACATCGTATTCAGTAACACTACGATTCTGAATGGAATTACAATGCGTGCTACACCCCAAAGATTACTGATTAACGGCGAAGATATTATATTTTTATTTTATACAGTAACGACACCAGTACCGACACTCAAAACTGAAAACAGCTTAGGAACCGGAACATTTGAAAAGCAAATTGAATTGCGAGTGCAATAAAGCACAATGAAAATGTAAAGCACAACTGCGATTAAGGAAGCATATACATAATGACTTAATAAATTACAAACACCAGAAATATTCCACATTCTGAAGAATGAGTGTTATTTGGAGTCTCTTAGGCAGCGCTCAAACTTTGCGATGACGCGCGACGACGCTACCACGGTAACTCAGGGGCTGTAGAAGGGAATGGAGCCGTAGACGGGTATCGATCGGCGCCGGCCGCTTGTGTTGCGAGAGAGAGAGAGAGTATAGAGTAAAAGGAGGACTGGCTCCGCCTTCGCACAGTCTGGCACCCTTTTATTCTTCTATACTCTCAAAATGCTAGCGGCCAGCGCCGATCGACACCCACTGCGGCTGCTTCCTGTGAATATTGGAACGCCACTGCAGCGGTAGCGCGTCGAGGTAGAGTTTGAATGCTGCTCCATTTCATCAGCCAACTCGCTGCTGACAACACTTGCAGACTTCAGTAAGACTGGCAATCTCCTCCACCCTTCTTAAAATAACGAGAGTAGTTACAGCCATGGCAGAATTCAACGTTACCGGTTATTCGACACAGGATTACAATACAAAAACTAATGCAGAATGTTAGTACACAAGTTTATGGAATTGACTGGAGGTAATAAGAATTTACAGAGTGAGCATATCGCAACAACAGCTATTACTTTACGTCCTCCACTTTTTAGCCAGTGACATTGACTAGAGAAGGAGCCAAGGATATTTCTTTCGGAGTTGCTCATCCTCGTTATCCTGGTTCGGAGGTACATTCAGATATGCTCTTGTTTCTTCTAACGTCATACCCTGAACATACAGTATAACATTCATTGACCTGAGGTACAGTCCGATCCGTGCGAACGATACAACTTGTGGCGCGGCATGGGTTGGAGCGCGCCAGGGCGGCTTATCTCCACCAATGACATCATGCTGACAGCGCAACGACTGGTGGGAAAGGCTCCTCTAACTGCGCTCTAGTCCACGCCCCTCTGTACGCTCTACTAGCTTGCAAAGATCATGATTATAT